AGCAGATGATGACATGAATAATCAGCATAATCAGCGAATGAATGAATATATTGACGAACAAAATAATTAGGAGATGTTATTTTATGTGCCCGAGAAGATTATTTTTTATGTGCCCTGACAGTTGAGCAGCTATGGTCTTTGGGTATGCCTATATATTTTCCATATTAAAATGCTTCATGAGTTATTTTATTTATATACGCATAGTCGCAGGACTGCGTTTATTGACGTGCAAATGGCTAGCAGTGTTGTGTCGCTTATACTCAGGCCGCCCATGAAGCAATGAATCGAGTTCGACTTGTTTTGTCGTGGATATCCGTAGAACAGCGGCACCAAATTGTATGTACGTAACAGTAAAATTTGTCATGCTGTTGTCGCCGTTTGTCAACTAGTCGATCCGCAGAAAAAGGACAACTTTGGCCGATTTGCGGGTTTTCCGTTTCGCGTCGCACTGCTGCATCTGGTTTCGGTTGGATCCAATTACAAGAGCGGCAGCACGGCTCTGGTCTGGCCATGGTCGACGGCTCCCCCTGCTGATCCGATCCACGCACTGATTCACACACACGCACACCCACTGCGGCTGCTGCCGTGGATGTAGCTGTTGTCCATTCTGGCCGGTTCTCAGTCTCACGCCGATGCTACCACGACGTGCCTTCGCGGTCGACAGTTTACTGTCATTTCGCTTCTTAAGCTAGCTTTTCTAGGTCACTTCCAGCGAGCGGTTAGCCGATGAAATTGAATCACACCAAACTGAGCACAGCGTAAACAAATGCGTCATCGAATCAGCTCATGGTCCGATGATCTGACAGGCAGAAATCCATGCAGCAAATATATTTACTGTACAGTAAAGCGTTCGAAAATCATGCATGGGAGAAGAACAGATTTATAACCGGATGAATTGGATGCGTTTCAGCCTCTCTTAGTCCTAACGTGACTCAAACACAAGCAGTTTTTTGTTCGAGTCTCTTTCAATTATCTTTATAGGATTTTACAGAAAGAACAGCGGATAAAATAAGGTAGTCATAATCGCTGAGACTTACGAATGAGCAAATCCTTGCCTGGATTTCGGCAGAATCATTAGAAACAACAATGAAAAACAGGATAAAAAGGTTATATAGTATTGGCGCCAAGGTTAGAACGGTATGTAGCTGGTATTTCTTCAGAGTGTCGAACTGAACGCCAACGAGTGAGGTTGAATGCCTCTTGAACAGCACTATCCAGAATGATATGCTGAAAAGATTTGAATGGGTATGATTGCGGCGTGAGGTTGGGCGTTTCAAGAGGTCATGAACGGGACGCTTCGAATCCGGCAAGATAGTGGAAGAAGACGAAGCGAACCATTGTTAACGCTTCAAGCTCCTTGTCTAAGCAATTTTGCTGGTAACACTAGAAGCATGAAGCTGTGTGCAATTAGCAACTGTGCATGAATCTATGAACCTCCCGAAAGATTGCCTTTGAAAGGCATTGTCGGAATTAATTGAGATAAGTTTCTTTTCCTCAAAGTAAACCTCTAAGGATCCATAAAAACATTTTGGAGCATTGACGTTTATTTGTTAGCGAAGCAACTACGTTTTCTGATGCATCGTCTCAGTGGGATTCGCATTATTCTTTTCAATGCAACCATTGAGTAAGGCAGGCAATTTCTCTTCCTTCATCTACTGTTTATCCTGTTATGTTCAAAATGTGGTTCAACAGGGTAATGTATCCTATAAAAGGATATATAGTGGCTTAAGTCTCAATCAGAAAATCAAATGGAATACAAATCCATCTTCAAGCAGAAATCAGCAAACAATATTTCTCAGGTGTGACATAGTACATCAGTCAAGTCAGCTAATAAGATTTATAGCATATTGTTTATACATGTATATACAGTGATTATTTATGAATGATCTTAATCTAGATCTAAATCGATGACTTGCTGCCTTAGCTTTCTTAACTTCTGAGGATGATGACTAAATCATCAAGACTTAAGTAGTTCCTCTCATTCGCTGTGTCTCTATTCTCGTATGGTCATTTTGACCTTGCAAGTTTATGGCTTGCTCTTGGCATGTACGACTCATAACCAGCAGGACAGTCAATTTAATGCTACCTGAGAGTAGAAAAATAGCTTATTCGAAACTTGATCGAACTAACTTGTTTTCCATTCGTTCTTTTCGACAACTCATCACAAGTCTACACAGAACAGCGGAAGACGAGACCGAATCTGCCAAATAGATATAGACGATGCCTTTACAATGAGCACTCCTCCCTGGTAGCATTGAGAATTATGCTGCTAGTTTTGACTATGCATACGGTAGCCGGAAGTTGCAAAGGTTACAGATTTAACTTTTGTGAAATCTTTCACTTCACAGTCCATCCTTTTGACGTTTCAATTCACTTAATGTATAAACTGTTTCCCTACATCATTTGGATCACTTGTGCCGGCGGAAAATTAGAGATCTAGAGCGCTAGCCCCACAAGCTCGCCATTTGTCGCGGATTCGATTCATTTTCCCGGTTCCTGATTTAACCGTTTCACAGTGGTAGTGGGCTACTAAGTGGTCTAACTTGCAGTGAGGCTACAATCCGCTGATAATCGCTGGCCATCTCCCGTATGTAAGCAGGGCTGCGCGTCTCGCCCACGGAAGTTTCTCC